GAACGATATGACTATGCAATCAAGAAATTCAAATTCAACTTGCATTATCAGGAGTCCTGACTCAGGACTAACATTTTGTTAGGTGAAGATAAGACTGCTAAAGGTTAAACCTGAAATACATTTTTGAATTGTAAGAATAATTCTTTTTGCAAGTGAATTTTGCATTAACAATTTTTTTTGAGAATTGCAATTTTCCCCACATGCAATTTCTACTACTTACCCCTTAGTGGTGGGGGAATCTGGTTTAGTTTATTTGTTTAATAGCATATCAACTTCTTTTGGGTCATTTAATGCTAAAATTTTATGCTCTTGTGAGTTTGGTAATTTTTTTTTTGTTTTCAAAAAATGTATTGCTGGTAATTTTTTTTTCTTACTATGACAATGTACTGTTGATAATTTTTTCTAATGTATTTTCATGTTTTGACCCTAATTGTGGGGTTCTCCATTTGCCCATAGATGGGACCCTAATAGGGGTTACCATCCTGGGTCAGGGTGGACTTGGGAACAACAGCAATTAAGAGGTGGTTTCATACTCCTCAAAACATCCTGATCAAAGGCTTTACTGCCAGACGTAGTTTATCGTCCTATCCAGGACAATAGCTGGAAGAAAGGAAAGTGAATGTAACAAACCTGACTGAAATTCAAACTTGGCTCTCCAATTTCTCATTCCGAGCTGCTATCCTCTCCAATAACAATGATGGCTACACACAGTTTACAGACAGTTATAGAAAAGGTGGAAACTGTGGAGTGCCATGATCACTGATGTCTTAAAGGAACATAGCACTTTAAAAAAAATCCTCATAAAAGTAAACCCATTTATAGATATACATATTTACTTGACCAAGATAATCTCTGATTATATGGCTGCTTTTGTTTCCTTGTCTCTTCATCTTGACTCTGTTGTTCCTAATCTGACTTGTCTGTTTTGATCTGCAACTTGATGTCCACATTGACAATCTCTTGTTTAGTCCACCTTCACATACACAAGCAGATTTTTCTGAATGTGTCCACTTTCATGCTCTTTCCACGTTGTCATACCACCAATGCATTATATATACAGTTATGATCATCAAGTAGAAATAGTTTTTCAGATTCATATACACACCAAAGTGAAGCACTAAAATTGTGTATATATGTATGTGTATAAAAACACTATCTTACATTATGTATGTATGAATGTGTTAGTGGGTGTGCAGAAAAGTTGTTAGCCCCAACCCACTTCCCAAAATCAGAACAAATGAACAACACTGGATTTTGGGAGATAAAGGCTTCTTGGTTGAGCAGAGAACTTTTACCCCCCCCTCACATGCACACACTTTACTGAGGAAGAGTCTGAAAGCCTGCAACGGTGCCATCCATCTAATCTAGATAAAGGACAAGGTATCCAATCAGCCAATAACATCCATTTTGGTTCTTGTAACCTGTCTTGTCATGTCAAACAGACAGGATCGAACCACCAGTTGAGATGATCTAACCCTAACAATGGCTGACAATATGCACTGGTACAGCAAATAATGCCTGTCATTGCAACAACATTCAATTCTGACACATACCTGCCATGTACTTACCTGATATAATTAAATGCCGAGTTTAAGTTTAAGAACTTTGCGCATCCTTTCCAACCCCCAATGTGATTTTACAAACCTAGGCTTTGTAGTTTTTCTTCTCCTTTTCTTCCTCCTCTAAAACTCAAGCATTTTTTTTTATTTCATCTCTGCAATCCCATTTTAGTTCTCTCCTTACCTTATTTGCTAATGCTAAGCAAAAGTTAAATATGTCTTCCAGTTTCATTTCACACATTTCCTACAATTATGTACTCTATTCAATTAGATCAAGAATGTTATTTATTACTTAAAAGAAATCTCATATTTCTCATGTAAAAGAATAAAATTCTTATTTTTTATATTATATTTGTTTTTTCTTTCATTTCCTCACTTTGGATTGCCTTCCTTCTCACTTTCATATTGTCTCTTTCACTTTCCATTTAACTTTTGGAAAGTCAAAGAGGAACACAGTGCCATAATGGTTACCAAGAGAGAAAATGGAATTGATAAACTAGGTGTAAAAGTTTATGTTCACTTTTCCTTTTTAAATCATTTCATTCAAGACAGTAAAGGCACCAAGACAGTGAGTGTGAAAGAATAAGAAAAAGAGAAATATTATTAAAGAGCGAGAACAATATGAAAAAAAAGAGGAATCAAGAAGATGGATGATAACAATTGACATTGCATTTAAATTTTTGAAGATCAAAGTTGGATGGAAAGCAAGAAGCCGGAAGAGGGTTCCACAAGGAAGAAGTTCAAGAAAAGAAACTGTTAGCATAGAACTTATGGTTACATTAAGCCATTTTAACTGTAAAATGATGAGACCTTGTCACCAGTCTAGTACTGAGCTTAAAGTCTAGCTATCATAGAGGAAAGTTCATGAGAACAATTACCATAAAAATATTTATTGAAAAGGCACAGGGAATCTACAGCAATGAGAAAGTGACTGAAATCAAGATGCCAGATAAGGACCAATAAAATTTCAGATTCTTCTTTGGATTTTATTAAGAATCACCAAATATATAACAGGTGCACCGAACCTTAGGTGGAAGCAATGTTCAAAACAAAGACGAATGGTAGACTTATAAATATATAAGATATATTCTGATGAGAAAAAGTGTCTAGCATGACATAGTGAACCCACTTTATTAGCAGTAGACCTAGCAATTGATCCAATATAATCTTTCCATATCTTGTCAGCAGAGAATGTTAGCCCAAGAAAGCACAACTAGTCACTCACCTGGAGATGGTAGTAGTGATAATGGTGAGCTATAGCTGCAGCATATTTTGGTATGAACCAATACTTATTGACTGTTTTGTTCCATGATCTCATGCGATCTCTTCAAGAACTTTATGCTCTTCTGTGTCAAATAAGTTGGGGGTGAGGGTTTTTTAAACCAACTATATCTTATTATATCTTATTAGTATGACCCCTATAATTTAATTTTTTTCATATTTCATGCCACCCACCTCATGAAAACAGAAGGCATGAGCAGATTATTTTGACTCACTCTTCCAAACTATGAATTTGTTTGAAATTTCTACCTGCCACCCAACTTTTTAAGCACAGGATATAATTCCATCATTCAAGAAAGTTTTATCTTTTCCAGTAAAAAACTCATCTAAGTTCCCTTTACAGCCTTCTAGTGAATTGATATAATTTTTTTCCCTTTGCGAGTAATTTTATAAAGACCAGAAAAATAATCCAAAGAAGTAATATTCAGTGAATGAGTAATAAGTTCCCAGCAAGGCAGTAACAGTTCATGCCTGTTTACCAAAAAAAAAACAAAAAAAAAACATGCAGTCAGTTCTCATCCTAATAGAATATTATGCCCTTTCTTTTAATTGATTCTAGATGTTTAATTGCTGCCTTCATGTTGTATAATTAGGAGCAGCATTTGTTTGAATCTATCATTTGTTCCTGTGAAATGAACACAGAACAGAGGAGGATGTCATCACCCCAATTCCATCATCTTCACTGGATGAGGACCAGGTTTTGGTACTGATAGTGGTAGTTCATTTAGCTTGCCCCATAATCTCTTGCATTCAACATTGTTCAATGTGAATTTACACTACCCATTACAAATCTGATTAAAAAAAGAAAGAACATTCCCATGAAGCAGTGAATTGCACATGGAAATATTATTCTATTTATTTGAAAGCCACACATCAAAGTGACAAACGCAATCAAACTAGTACAAATGATTTTCAGTTGGATATTTCTCGATATCAGATAGCACTGATTATACTTCAGTGCTGTCTTGACTTTATTGCTATCAAAGACAACTGATTGACCCAATCATAAAGTATTATTTAGTGGAAAATATCCAGCACAAAATTTCATAAATCACTTTTGATATGCTTGATTATTTGCAGTGTTTTCTCCAAAAATAATACTTTTTCTTTTTTTTTTTTACATTTCATAAAAAAAGAAAAGAAAATGCCACTTGTTTTCTTTCTTCCATCTTTAACATTAGAAGTATGATAAATATTTATTAAAAACAGCCAAGTTCCAGTCGGGATCATTATATTCACATATGCACAAAAAGTGAAAAGTATGGATCCACCTCTTCTCTCCTCCAGCTACGGGTTAACTAGTAAGACTTGTATCACCAGACCATTATTATTTAAAAAAATTTCTGGCTTTAATTAACCTGCAAAGGGTTGATAAGCTGAAGAAAACAAATCACTCAATCTGATAGTAAAATTTTACTATCAAGCCTGCTGAGTGGTAAGTAAATTGAGCATTTATGTTATGATACACATAAACAAAATTCAGATACCAATTATAACTTCCTAGCAATGTTATTTTAGATATTCCTAGTGAAGTAAAAAAAAAAAAAAAGTTCTGACACTCCTTGCTATGTTTACACATATTTAAATAAAAAAAAAAAAAACTATTGTTACTTTTAATTTCAACACACACAAGACAAAGGACTGCTAAGACCAACTAATGACCCATTTAAAATTACAAAATATTTTATATTTGGTGCCTTTAGCCAATTTGAAGCTCTTCTGTCATTACAAAAGTTGAAATTGTCATTTACTTTGCAAAATCTATCATTTAGGTTTGAATAAGAAAGGAAATTGCAAAACAGTAACTTCCGGCTGAGGCTGGCTGCTGTCCCTCTGCAAAAAGATTGTCAGCTGTAATAAAGTGGAATTTTACCCCAGCTGGAATCAATATCAAGCAGCAAAACTTATTGATCAGTCCACCCCAGATTTGGTAGAGAGCAGAGAATTAAAGTGTTTCAGAAAATAAACTACAAGATGTTGAAATGTTCCTGGCCTCACCTGCTTGCCAAAATTTGAAACCAATTACTAAGCCTAAGATATTTTTTAAAATACATTCTTGGTCAATTTGAAAACTTTCCAGAAACAATTCATAATGTGCAACAAATGTTAATTTTGTAGTGTTTACAGAAATTGAGAACATTGGATTTAAGAATACATATTTCAACTGCAGCTGAGCATATGGATCAGGGGTTCTTTTACAAATAAGTTAAATCCTGCAGCAATTTGACAAACTGGTGATATTTTTGGCACAAGATGAATACAATGAAAGAAAGAGAGATAGAGAGAGGAGGACCAAAGAAAGAGAGATAGAGAGAGGAGGACCAAAGAAAGAGAGATAGAGAGAGGAGGACCAAAGAAAGAGAGATAGAGAGAGGAGGACCAAAGAAAGAGAGATAGAGGACCAAAGAAAGAGATAGAGAGGAGGACCAAAGAAAGAGAGATAGAGAGAGGAGGACCAAAGAAAGAGAGATAGAGAGAGGAGGACCAAAGAAAGAGAGAAAGTGAGAGGAGGACCAAAGAAAGAGAGAAAGTGAGAGGAGGACGCTGAGGACCAAAGAAAGAGAGATAGAAGAAAAAACCTTTGGAAAAGGCAAAATAAAGATGTGAATATGAAAGTGGAAAAGTGCTAGAAAGAAGGATATCAGAAATGTACAGGGGAGATAATAAGCTGTCAAGAAACCAGGGGGAGAGACAATAAGCTGTCAAGAAACCAGGGGGAGAGACAATAAGCTGTCAAGAAACCAGGGGAGAAAATAAGCCAAGAAACCAGGGGAGAGACAATAAGCTGTCAAGAAACCAGGGGAGAGACAATAATGTCAAGAAACCAGGGGAGAGACAATAAGCTGTCAAGAAACCAGGGGAGAAATAAGCTGTCAAGAAACCAGGGGAGAGACAATAAGCTGTCAAGAAACCAGGGGAGAGACAATAAGCTGTCAAGAAACCAGGGGGAGAAATAAGCTGTCAAGAAACCAGGGGGAGAGACAATAAGCTGTCAAGAAACCAGGGGGAGAGACAATAAGCTGTCAAGAAACCAGGGGGAGAGACAATAAGCTGTCAAGAAACCAGGGGGAGAGACAATAAGCTGTCAAGAAACCAGGGAAGACAATAAGCTGTCAAGAAACCAGGGGAGAGACAATAAGCTGTCAAGAAACCAGGGGAGAGACAATAAGCTGTCAAGAAACCAGGGGAAACAATAAGCCAAGGGGGGGAGAGACAATAAGCTGTCAAGAAACCAGGGGAGAGACAATAAGCTGTCAAGAAACCAGGGGAGAGACAATAAGCTGTCAAGAAACCAGGAGAGACAATAAGCTGTCAAGAAACCAGGGGAGACAATAAGCTGTCAAGAAACCAGGGGAGAGACAATAAGCTGTCAAGAAACCAGGGGAAGACAATAAGCTGTCAAGAAACCAGGGGAGAGACAATAAGCTGTCAAGAAACCAGGGGGAGAGACAATAAGCTGTCAAGAAACCAGGGGGAGAGACAATAAACTGTCAAGAAACCAAGGGGAGAGACAGTAAACCTTCAAGAAACCAAGGGGAGAGACAGTAAACCTTCAAGAAACCAAGGGGAGAGACAGTAAACCTTCAAGAAACCAAGGGGAGAGACAATGGTTGGGGAAGATGATTGGAACAAAGTGCCGGATAGGCATGCAGATGACAAAAAGAAAAGGGCAAGGTAGCCAGGACAATAACACAAAGGTACAGGGGCAGAAGGACATTGTCAAGAAAGTGGATGCCAATGACAACAACAGAGAATAAGTGCAGGAGACATAGGAAACAACAACAACAGGAAAGAAGCATAGGAGAAACTGAGGATGAGAGGGGAAAAATGCAAGGACAAGAATGACAACAGAAAAGAAGAGTCGGGCAATAAAAAAAAAAGAGAGAACGTATAATGATGACAAATACAAAAAGCGGGTGAACAGGAGGATATCAACATGGAAGAAAGAAAGCTAGAGCTGCAAATGACAGAGAGAGAGAGAGAGAGAAAGAGAGCAGAATGAATAATGAAGACTGCAGATATAACAAAAAACATTTTTTTAAGTAAAGAATAAAATAAAACTGAATGTTTAAATTAAAAATTATCAAAGAATATTTCAACGTCACAAGAAAAAAAAAAAACTAATTAAATAAAATGAACTATTTCTGTAGAAATCAATACCATTTTCTTTTTGAAATAAATACAACTGAAAAGAAATAAATATTGGAAGAGTCATTTTTTTCCAGATGAAAGAACAGAAGCATTCTTCATTAAACCCTGCCATCCTCTTTTTGTAATATATTCAGTGTTTATTTTTTCCTCTTCCTATTTTGATACAAATTATAAAAAAAAATCCTGTTCCTATTCTCTTTTCTTCTTCCTGCCAAACCACCAGGTATAAATTACATATTTTCACCTGCCCATTAATTAAATCATGAATGATCAAGTCAAGATAGAGAACAACCAATAAAATAAAAAGCTCCAAACACCAATTCTCCAGCTGCTACGACTGACATCACACTTAGTTCTCATTAACTGAATACTCGATTTCTTTGAAGACGACATAGACAAAATAATAAAACCAGCTAAAATAGACTGACTGACTCTCTACAGGAATGCAGAAGGGACAAACAGTTTAGAGAAATGGAGTTAAAATTTATAAAATTACCTTGTATTCTGTTTGCTGGTCACAAAGGTCATTAAATGATATCCTAAAAGACACAAACAATTGGTTTTTAACGGCTGGATTGATGGTTAGTGTAACAGTTTTTGGCACAGAAATTGGAAAAATCTGAGCTAGTTCAAATATCAGCCGAATCTGTTCCATTCACACCAATATCCTTGATAAAGTCATGAATTCAACTCTCCCCACCACCCAGCAATGGTTTAAATAACAGAGTAAAGTGGACTCTCAAGCCTTGAATGAGAGCTAGCCTAATACTATTTTGAATTCAAAACTGTAGTGAAAACAATAGGAATCCACTCCATTTTTACCCAAAAGAAGTCATGGCAATTCACAGATAAAAAAGGAAAAGGAGCCTGTGAAGAATCCTGATTGTCTGTCATGAAGGAGCTTGGAATTTTTTTTTTAAAAAAATCATAGGATATCAGCCTAAGTAGGACAGATGTCAATTTTGGTGGGTGATCAGTCATGGCATTTCATGTTAATGATCTGTAGAGAGGTAAGAACAAATTTTTATAGAAACTTGAATGGCTGGTCTTCAGAGATTAAAACACAAAAACTTTGAAATATAGACAACATAACTAAATAGCAGTAGTACACAAAAACATTATTAGCATTTAAAATGTATGTATGTATACACCCCTGTAGATTAAATAAAAGGTTAAGTTCAAAATTCCCTTAAGGTTACCTAGAAAAAAAGGCAGCAGGAACAATGGATGAAACATGAAAATAACAAAGATAAGTACATTAGTCTGACTGTAAATAATGCAAATAATTAGTCTAATTAGTACAAGGCTATAAGTGTGAAGCACCCAGTGTTAACTGAGCTCATATTACAATGTCTGAAAGGTGATGTCAGTCAGCAATAAGGAAAATAAAACAAGCAAAAAAAAAAAAAAAAATTCTAAGTGTTCATGTGTTTGGCAAAAGCATGAACCCAGTTTTCCCTTCCCAGTATGAAGACAAAGGTAAAGTCACAGTCATACCACACTCTCACATGCAATGTCTGAGAAAGACTACCTTTTACCTTTCTGGGGTAGTTATTTATACAACTGCCAGAAACACAGTTCTTTCCCACTCTTGCATCCAAGGTGCAGCGAGGTCGATTATGTTAATCCATCCCTGGCAGCTAAAAGGTTACTGAGGGTCAACTGTATCTGGCTCCTCTGACAGCAGATTGAGGCTAAAGTATATTCTGGCATCATCTGGGGTCACGTACAACATAGTCAGTAGCAGTAATTAAGCTGTTACACTCATTGTCAACCTTAACATTAATTTAACTTCTCATTTAAATGGCTCTGTGCCAATTCTTAGAACTCTTTCAGACTCTATGGTAGAAGAATCAATCACATGTAAATTAAGGTTAACAGATAAGTTATTTTAGAAAGCTTTTTAGGAAAGAAAGAAAAAAATTATTATTTTAATTGATTTTAATGTAAAAATTTAAACATTTGTATTGAGTCGAACTGTTTTTGCTTTTAGCATTTTTTTTTTTTCATTTCGAAGTGGTTGGGGAAAACATCTGTTTAATAACAAGGAATATTGTTTGTTCTATAATATTAAAAGTTACTCAGGATTCAAGATAGCTTTATGACATTTCGAGTTATTAAAATTGATTTTGTGAGCATCGGCAACAAAGTGCTTGGAGACTACAAATCAGGTCAAAAGAGAAAGCAATCGAACAAAGATGAAAAGGATGAGTGGATGTGTTTTTAAAAAGCTTAGAATAATGATATAAAAAAAATAGAGAAAATGATAAAAGGGTAAAATGATGAATGCTTTATATAGGTTTAAGACTTACAGATACACTTATGTGCTGTAGTACTTTCTTTTGGAATCTTGGTAGAACCAAACAATCTATCTTGCAGATTAGATATTCAGGAAATTCCTTAAAAAAAAAAAAAGAAAAAAAAAAAAAAAGAAGAATATAAATAAAAATAAAGAAAGATAAACAAAAAAAATAAAAATGAAAAAATATGAAAGCAGAAAGAAAAGAAAAGCAAGTAGCCTTAGTGGATAAGAATTTTCATCTTCTATGATAGGAATGCAGGTTTACAAAAGGCATCCTCAGAGTGCACAAGACTACTGGATTGGAATATAAAGTGGGAAAGGATTATAGCCAAAGCCAATGATTATACACACACCCATATATGTATGTATGTATTTATTTATTACACTGGCATTCAACAACATTATAATAAATATGCTTGTGCACACACACACACACACACACACACACATATATATATATATATATATATATATATATATATATATATATATATATATATATCAGAGACACAGGCACAACATACATTCATGCATATTAAATGGCAAAAATATACGTGCAAACTCCCTCATATATATATATATATATATATATATATATATATATATATATATATTCAAGTAACTGATTGACTTTTTTTTAATCTGACAACATTATTACTATAAATATTTTAGTGGATACTATGCTGAGTAGACATCCATAATTTTTTTTTTTTCCAACTTCAGTAATTGTGAGAAAAAACTGAACCTTTTTGTCTCGAATTTGTATTTACTTCATATATATATATGAATAAATAAATCAACGGCCACTTGTATTTGAGTATTTCTGTCTAATAGGTGGCTATCAGATACCTGCACAGACACATTTGTGTTTGTTCAACACTCAAAGCCCGCCCATGGTTTACACTGCAACTATACTGAAGAGATCTTAGTTGCAGTTTCTGGAAGAGAGTGCATTATTTGGTGTAATCAACAGTATGAACACGGCCGGTATGTTCAAACCCTCGGTCACAATGACTTGTGACTCTGCAAGCAAAAACCATTGACATCTCCCAAATACTTCCGTCTACGCAATTTCACTTGAAGGGCTTTCCAAAGGTGCCACATGCTTGAATCATGTCCTCCAGGTAATCAAAATCAAGAAGCTACCTTCTTGACAAATCGACCCTGGTGAGATTCAAACCCAGGTTTCATGTTTCAAAAGCAAACGCTCTCACCACTTGGCCATGTGCCATATATATATATATATATATATATATATATATATATATATATATATATATATATAATCGTACATAAACACACACTCTCTCTCTCTCTACATAAATATTTATTCCTGGTTCTTTGAAAAATGAGGGGATATTTATATTATAATATTAATTATTAATTCACATATACACTTTATGACAGAGTAGAAGTTAGCAATCCAGTATGAATAGATCTTAATTATTGTAGTAGGTACAAACTTAACTGGGTACCCAGATATTTACAACCTCATCACAGACAGAGATTGATTTAGCACATACTGTAGAGGCATAACACAGACAAGCATATACAATAAACATATATTGAAAGAGGCACATGTAATTTCCAATGTTTACAGGCTTAGTTGGTATGAGAAGTATGCAATTCCCAATGATACCAATAGTCAGTTATTAGTAACAATGTCAGAATTTTAAATACATGTTATCATAGCAAATAGAACCTTTCTGGCTGACAGAACTTAATTTTCTTTTCCTTTCTATCTGATGTAGACCTGATATTTACTCAGCTAAAAAGTATGTGTGTTGGTATTAACACTATATTGTTTGGACTGTTGTCCTCATCTTTAATGTTATAATCATAACAGTTTGGCCATTGCACGTTCTGGCCTTCTTCAAGTGATATACATTGGAATTTCAAACCAAACCCTAAATTTCGTCCATGTGGGTATATCACTTGAATAATGCCAGATTTCAGATAGAGTATATGTATATCTGTAAAAAGACAATATGAATAAAGACAATTTTCTTTTTGTGCGCGCGCGTGTGTGTGTGTGTGTGTGTGTGTATATCTTACTTATTATAAAATGCAGATTGTGTGTGTGTGTGTGTGTGTGTGTGTGTGTCTGTAACGTTTATATATTGGATCGGATTTCCTACATTTTTAACCGATTTCAACAAAAACTTCACAGGACTACATAAAATTACCTTGTGGTG